GTCCTTTGAAGGATAGGAGACATGTCCCATCACCTGTTGATCTTCTGCAGGATGGGAGGCATGTCCTACTGTCCTACGGGAGATGGATGCTGCAGCAAGGGCAATCACAATGGGAAGGATGGGAGGAACGGGGCTTTGATGGCATGCTCTCAGTACAGAAAGAAGGGCTAAGAGGCTTTGCCCAGCTATTTTGCTTGGGTTTTAGCAGCTACGAACCAAATCTAGCCTCTTCCCTAGGTTGTTTTCTCTGAGTCACCCAAGAAACATTAATTATCAGAGATGATGTCCCATTTATGGAAAGCAGGGGCCTGTAGAGATGTTACAGACAATGGGTTGTGGTGGTATGGAAACTCCAAGGCAAGTGGAAATCCAGAGGAAATGGGAAAGAAGGAAGTCCACCACGTGATGTCTGGAATGGGAGGTGGAAGGGAGGTGTGGGGAAGGGAGACTGAAGTCCACAGGGACTTCGCAGCATATGCAGCTTCCGTTTCCTACTGAGTGCTACCACTCATTAATGAGCATTAGCGCATTAATTGGCAAGGAGTCTCAGAGGGTGGGAGGGAGGTGTGGTTGTTGTGTTGTGTGGGGTGAGAGCCAAGCAGCTGGAATGTGCTGGAAGGCGTCATGTTGTTTGCTTTTCCATATGCTCTCTTACAGGTGACAATGTCTGCTCCACCCAAAGGAGAACCTGGGGAAAATTACATGTATGGAAATCCAGCCACTGGATGAGTTTTGGAATCCAGGATCCCTGTGCAGAGGATGACAGCCATCAGTTCCATGATTAACAGTCATTGTTGACAGGTGACATTTGAACCCCAGTTACTTCTTGGTGAAAGTCAGCCACTTCAGAAAATCAAGAATCTTGGAGAGTGGTAGAATATTCACCATAAGTACAAGGACCTGAGTTCACATCCCCTGTACCCACATAAAATCCAAGCACAGGTGTAGGCACCTGTAACCCCAGCAATGGTGAAATGAACATAGGGGGATCCCTGGACAGTCTAACAAAATTGATGCGTTCTAGGTTCAGCGGAGACCTTGTTTCAAAAATAAAGTGGAGAATGGACAAGAAAGACACCCGACTTTTGATGTTTACAGACAGACAGAGAGACAGACAGACAGACAGACAGACACACACACACACACACACACACACACACACACACACACACACACACACGGAAGGAGACAGAACTGGAGAGAGAGATGAAATTTCTAGGAAG